ACGTTTTTTATTAATATTGACCGTATCTAGTATAAAAATAATCCTTCTAAACCCTCTTACAGAGGACTTACAGAGTTAGGCCAATATTCAATTTAGCAGAGCAGGGAGGAGGGGAGAGGACGACTTAGACACCAACAAAAGCAATTCTACAACCAAGCACAGAGCCTGTGCATATAGATCCTACTGAGATGGGATTAAGAATTAGACAAATTAAGTAAACTGATCCCCTTCAGATGAGGCAAATATTAAGATAAGAGAAGCCATCTGTGCAGTTGGAGAACTCCGTTTATCTGCAGCAACAGGTAGGAGAAGGGAGAGCGTGTATTTACAAGCCACATTTGGGCAGCACTGCAGGTTTACAAACACTAAGATGCTATCTACCCTAAAAAAAACCCGTTGCCATCTAAAAAACAAACAAGATAAGGAGGCTGAGCACACAAGAAGCAATCCCAGCTGGAGTGCCACTGGCAGCTGTGCAGTGTAACGGCTCACTGCTGCAAGGATGGCTTTCTGTCCCATCCTAAAGCTCAGAGTTCAACTGGCTCGCAGAAAGGTCTGATAGCACCAAAAAAAACCCCAAAAAATCTCCACCTTGCCAGGACGGTGAGCTGCTCGGCAGTCTAACTGCATTTCACCGACTCCACAGTTGTAAGCTGCCCCCGGTGAATACTTGCTCAGCTCTTGCCCTGCTTCTGGCACTCTCAGACCCTGCACCGAGCCATCGCGACGTGCCAGAGTAGCTGCTGTGGCACCATCACATGTCACAAATGCAGCTTCAATCTTCCCATTTCTAAAGCTGCTAGTACCAGGTAACTAAAAATCCACCGAAAAAAAACCCCAAAAATCCCCACTGAACAGAAACATTCTTCAAAAATGTCAATACTCCCCAGCCCAGCTGCCAATGAATCATAAACCTATGAGAACAAAGTAACATCATCATTCACTGGGAAAGCAGAGTCATGGGGAGGGTTTCAGGGTTGCTTTTTTTTTTTCTCCTCATTTTTTGGGTTTCTTTAAAACCAGATACAAGAATGCCTGGGCCTAGAGTCACAACCGCTCTGCTTAAAAGAAAAGCACTGGTCACTAGAGAGGTGGGGGCTCAAGGAGACATACACAAGGCCATGGTGAACATGTATCACTTCAGCCTTTGACTTGACGTTCAAGAGCTCTGCTGCAACAAACCACAGGTCTCAGATGTAATGGATTTAACAGTGTTTCTTTCCAAGCGTAGGGTGAGACTCACTGTTACCCCAGATATTCATACTTCAAAATTTTTGGTCCAACTCCTTCTGGTTTTGAAGTTAAGTACCTACCAGTTGCCTGATGTCTTTCTGTCCCCATCCTCCTCCCACTCTCCCAGATTAAGTTACAGCCAGCTACTCACCCGGCTGCTCTTTTATTCCAGACGCAGGCTTATCTCACAGCATAACCTACCACCAAATCAAGAACGTTGCAGTTCAAAACGCTTGTAATGCACTGATGACAAACACCACCTCACAGCCTCTCTGCATTGTCCACTATCCCAAAAAGACGCTGCACAGATAGTCAATATTGAAAAGCTGTAGATAAGAGGGATTTGAGTGAAGAAAAGCAGATAACCAGCTCCCCTGTCTTGAAGACAGGAAAAGAGAGAGAACTTGGCCAGCTCATGTCAGGGCACTGATGGGTATCGCTGCTGTGTGATCAAAGACCTCAGAAGACAACCCAAGCAGCATGGACACATGTTCCGGTCTGCTAAAGCAGCAAAACTGACTGACCCCTACGTGCAGCTTCCGAAGGCCATCCTCTTTCTTTACTAATTGCTATACACCATCTCTTTATTATTTTCCAGCTCAACATCTCCTGTGAAGGGGAGTTTGACACAAAACTAGTGAAGATTTCATTATTACAAGCTTACGTGGCTTGTAGTAAGGCTCCAAGATGACTTCCTTTGTTACAGCTGGACAAAGTGCTAAAAAGGCAGGGGGGAGAACAGACACCCCTTTTAGAAGGCTACTTTCAACAGCATCAATCATGTTCACTATCAACAGCCCACATCTCCTCCATTTTAGAGCGGAGCAAAAGGGTTCCTGTGGCTCATCTTTTCAGTTTTGCACTTGAGAAAGTATTGCGCTTCCACTTGCACAGAAATTTAAGAGTTTAAGGCTGGTTGCAGTGGGGGAGGCTGAGAGAGTTGGGGTTGTTCAGCCTGGAGAAGAGAAGGCTCCAGGGAGACCTTCCAGCAGCCTTCCAGTGCCTAAAGGGGATACAAGAAAGCTGGAGAGGGGTTTTGGACAAGGATGTGGAGTGACACGACAAGGGGCAATGGCTTTGAACTGAAAGAGGGGGGATCTAGATGAGATCTAAGGAAGAAATTCTTCCCTCTGAGGGTGGTGAGGCACTGGAACAGGTTGCCCAGAGAAGTTGTGGCTGCCCCATCCCTGGAAGTGTTCAAGGCCAGGTTGGATGAGCCTTTGGGCACCCTGGTGTAGTGGAGGGTGTCTGTGCCCATGGCAGGGGGGTTTGAACTAGGTGATCTTGAAGGTCCCTTGCAACCCAAACCATTCTATGATGCTATGATTCTATATCTGTTCATCACCAAACATTATCTATTCTGCTGCCAAAATGCAGGTAAGAGATTTAATTGCTTCACAGCACCCTTTAAAAAAAAGCTCTGATGCTTTCAGAGGCACAAACTTCTTAAATCACTAAAATTATGATGTTGCTTACTATGAAGCAAGAAAACAAGAAGATAACAAGATACACTAAATGCGTTTAAACTCTTTCTCCTCATCTTTCTCCTCCAGGTTTTTCACTATCTACTCAAAGTCTGAGATTATTGACACTTCCTGCAGGTAAGGATCAGAGGACACGAGATCAAGAAATACAAATCAAATTCGCTCTTTTCCTCATTTATTTCAGACATTTTTTTTTTACTACACTTTCTCAACGAGTTTCCTTCACACTTCAGGAGCAGAGGGAGGGGAAGAAACTCTCAGTGTCTTGCTAAGGCATCTGAACAACAGATAGGGCATGCTGCCCAAAAAAATCAAAGCCCACAGTTGAAAAACACAGTCTTGAAAGCCAATACGCCTATCCTGTGGGGATCTCAGTTTATATAGTTCCTTAAATTGGCCAGTTGGACCTATGTTGAAGTACCTTGGGAAACATAGAGAAAATTCAATGGATAAAGACAGGAAACTGTGGGACTGAGGGAGAAAACAAGCCCAAGAGAAACAAGAAATGGTGTCTTGGCTTAAAGAGAAGGGTGAAACGTCAACTTTCCTGGAAAAAAACATGCATATTCCAGTATGTGGAAAAGCCCAGCGACAAAAGGATGTCATCTCCAAAACTTTCTGCACCACAGTGACAAGAAGGTGGGGGGGAAAGTGAGTCAGCATTGGAAGGCAAACCTCACATCCTCAAAAAAAACAAACCCAAATTCACTTCTCTCAAGAACTGACTAAATAAACTAAGAGTTTGTAAAAATCAGCATATTTCGGAATGCCTTCAGGCATTTAAGCTAACACCACCTGATGTCACGTTAAGTACACAGCAAGTGCTGTACTTACTCTTAACGGGCTTTCAAAGAGTCTGTCCCTTCTATACCTGAACATTAACGTCTTGCCCCAGTGAGGTGTTAAAAAAATAATATTCACAGAACACTCACACCCCCATCATTCCACTGGCATGCTTCATATGGAGGCACATCAGCTGTTTTTCAGGAGCTTTAGATGGATTTTTAACATCAGGTTTTCTCCTTTGTAAATCACTTTCATCTACTCTTACTCAATAGTCTCACGGTAGGTTAATATAATGTAGAGAAACAGAGATTTTCCTATCAAGTACTGTCAAATTAAAACGCAACTTAGTATTACGATCTCCCAGAGAAGGAAGGAAGGCGAGGAGAGAAGCTAAGCTGCAATCACCATGAATTCCCTGAGGTCTTTCACCTGAGAGAGGGCACCTTCTTATGAATCCCACCACGCAATAGTCCCAGCTTGCCATTTTCTCCAAAAAAATCACTTTGGGGTTCTAAGGATTTTATTGGTTTTTTTTAAACCTGGCCCATAAACTAGGTAACAGAGATAGGATGGACTAAACATGGAGAAAATAAAGTCGTCTGAACTTGACAGTCAGGAACAGAAAAAGGAAGGCTCTCCAGAACAAGAAGGAGGCTCTCCAGATCTGTATCAAGCTGACCTGCCGCACATTAAGACATGATTTTCTCATCTCTGTTCTTCCACAAGCCTCTAAAGGGACTGACTGGAAAGGAAAAGGGAACAAGACGAGGAAAAGAAGCGTTTACATGCAACTTTCAGGAACATAACACAGCCAACTACAGTAACTTGTTGTTCTTTCAAGTCACCCTAAAAATACGTAAATTCTCTCTTTTCAAAGGAAACCAACAGCCATCTCCCCCAAACCTGCCGTTTCCTTACTGTGCTGAGAGATTAAAATAACTCTCACTGGGTTTCTAGCAAGCTAGAACTGAAGGGCTCGTTATCTGTCAACTGCCTGCTCAGTCCTTTGACCTGTCCGAAGCACTTATCGCTCCTGCAGCTCTCGATTCCACTGCTCAGCTACTTCCAACATTAAACACGGTCCTGTGCTTTGTGACAAGAGCCAAAAGGTGGCCAGGAGTGGAAACAGGGCAGCAGACAACAACAGACAACTAAACCCGCAATATTACGGGGTCTGAGATCACTGGATCCCAAAATAGACATGCTACAAGTATTGTAACACTTGTCACAAGATATATTTCTAACTGTTCTTTTACAACCACCATTTTACTGTTTGATGATACAACAGGTGGAGGGCTTAGCTGTTCCTCCTACGAAGATGTATTCCAGCCTGACAGGTTTTTATTTTGTTAAAGCACACACACACACACACACTTCACAGTCATAATGAAGAACTCTCAAGTTCAGAATCATTCCAGCAGCCTCAAAAAACTGTTATTTATTTTCCTCCTCCCCCCAAAATACAGATTTATTTTTTTCTATAGGCCTTTCACTTACCTCTCCCATAGCCCGTCCTTCCAGAGCAAGCGCTTGAAAATCGTGATTCAGTTCATCCATGGAACGGACCTATTTATAGATGGGTAAGAAAAACACATGAGGAAATGGTTGTACTTGGTTTTTACCATTTTAAATGATTGTTATCATTTTTAATGATAATAATAGTTTATAGCAACTTCTGATACAGACTGAGAGCTACATTCCACATTACAGCATATAACAAGGTTACTGAGCTCCAAAAGATGACTTACCTTTAAGACTCCCCGCAGCTACAAAGTCTATAGTATCAGATTTACACACTCACAAAACAGGCAAAACTAGCCATTACTTTTAAAGACACACAAAGTCTAATGCAACTGCCTTTACCAAGCGTATTGCAGACTAACATTCCACAGCGAGTTGCGTGATTTCAAGTGAGGGAGTCGATGCATAAGCAAGTCGGCATCACCACCTTTCATGTGAAAATCAAGTAAAGACTTGTATAAAATGGGCAGGTTTATACTCAAGTTACATTGATAAGAAAAACACAATGGTAGAAACGAAAAGCAAATTAAACTAAACAGCACCATCTGAAATGGGAGCAGGGGATGAAGAACGGAGAGCAAGCGATGCCTTAAGATCAGTTGCCAGTTGTAGTTACTGCACCCACAACAGCAGAAACCCAGAAGCACAAACTGGGGTGCAAAACACCTTAAGAAAACCCCTGATGGTGTATGGCCTTCTCCTCATTCCCAAGAGGCTGCCAGCATGTGGCACGGCCGCCGCGCAGCTCCGTGGCTACGCTGGGGTCCCCGAGGCTTGCCAGCTAAGGCAAGGCACGCAAGGGAAAGGCAACGGTGAAGCAGTCCTTCTAGATGCCACCCAGGATCTGCAGAGCTCAGGACAGCCCCGGGAGCTGACACTGGCCGTGCTCACCTGGAGGACCTGTAGCTATACATTTACTTGGGCAGTTGGGCCATTTTCTGTTTCTGCTTTGGATCATGATCTGATGAAAACTGATTCAATTAGGACAGAAAAAAAAAGCAGTAACTTTAAAACTGTTAGCTAATCAAGTCAGATACATTGAAAATGCAAGAAAACACTACTTCTGATTTTCATTCCCAAATCTCATCCAGGCAAGCCCCTAGAGATGTAGCCATGGAGCACAAGTGCACAAGCAGAGAAAAAAATCCAACTATGGACTTGAGGACAAGGCACAGAAGTTCAACCACGTGCTAGGATTCAGACCAAGTTATTGCCCTCCTCAGATAACACACCTGTACCAAAGAAGTGCTTATTACAACAGCCACAAACACTTATCATGGCACATAAGCAACACCACACACCACCTACTCAGTGTTTATGTAACTGCAACCCAACAGATCTGATACACCCTTCTGCTAGAGCAGGGGCAATAGTTTATAACACACTTATGAGTAATCCACATGCTCTATTCACCACAGTCCTTTACAGGCTCTCTGCAGGATGCTGAAGACTAACACACAGCGTTTAGTCGTGTCACCACTGAAGACACAGCAGGTGACTCGGATGCAGTCTCCTCTAGGCCAGGAGAAGGAACCCAGTAATACCCAGTGGGTGATTTATAGCATAAAAAAAGCAAAAACTGGTTTAGATGCTAATCCGTCACCCTGCCAGTGACCAGTGAGTAGTTACACCATGTTTACTCACCTTAACCCTGATTTCTGATACTCCTGCTGCTATGTCCAGCAGAATGAAGGCAAGACTTTGTTGTGATTACACTTTATTTCTATTTCAAGACAAGATTTGATAGACCTCATCCAAGAGCATCAGATGTAAGCAAGGAAAGCACCATAGATAAACTCCAGAAGTCCCCTCCAGCCTGAATTCTTCTACTATTCTGTGACAATACGACTTTGCAAAAGATTAGTAATGTATTGTTAAATTGTCTAACACATATTTACGTAATTCACAAATCCTCGATGCCAGTCACTCCGAATCACAGTTTAAAAATAAGGTATCCTCTTATTACCATATCTCAGTTCAAAGTTATTTTCAGTTATGCCTCAGTCTTGCCACCTTCCGCGGTGACGCTTATCACAGCAACCACGAACACATGGAGAGAAAACAGGGCTCCATCTTCCAGAAACTGCAGCACCGGGCAACACCAAAGACTTTCCTTTACTGTCAACTCCACCACCGGTCTGCCAGCTGAGATATCTCCGTTGCCTCATGCGAGACAGAAGTTAATAAGACCAAATTCTTCCAGGAAGCGTTTCAAGCTGAGCTCATGGAAAGTGCTGCAACCCCCAGACATGCTATGCCACAAAAGCTGAACAGTAGCAAATTATTATTTCGGTGAGACATCTTGAGGAACAGAGAAATCATACAAAGAGATTCAGGAGGTGATGGTCATTACTCTCAGAGCTAAAGCAACGTCCCAGCAAACCACGGCTGCAGCCGCAATGGCACTGATCCAGGACCCGCAGTGCCGTGGAAAGGGCTGTCGGAGAAGCAAAGGCTGCCTAATGTCACCCCTCTAAACTTCACCAAAACAAACAAAACTCCCGAAGGTGGGTGTTGTGCTATGGGAACCTCAAAACAAAGCTGCTAGAAAGATCTAATCATTGCGTTCCTGGCATAAATCAAAAGGACATGAAGAGACATTTGTGGTTTGTTTTGGTCATACTCCAGCCCTAGCAACTCGCCGCTGCCCAGCCAAGCTCCCCTCGCACCTTCGGTTCCACCAACATTCCTGGTGAAAACCAGTGCAGAACACGCAGGCAGCTCCTAAACAAGCATGAACTCTACTTCTCAGCTCCTCTCTCGCCCTTCTTTATGGTACGTCAGCAGTTCCATGGCCATCCTTACTCCACTAAACATTTTTAATGCTAGAATCATCTATTTTATTTGTTCACGTTAGATGCAAAAATATTTTTTACAGATGTCTTCAAGTGTTTGTCTTGAGTAGAAAAACATTATCATCTCGTTAAACCAGTTACAACAGCACAAATATGTGATTTACATCCACATGTGAAGCCACGTTCCCATGCTGGCCTGAACTCTTAGTGGAGAAGCTAGAGCTGGTGTAACTAAAACCAATCTCATCTCCAACATGGTCAAAGCCTTCAACACGTTCATAAAATCATCTGGTTGGATGAGACCTTCAAGATCACCAAGTCCAACCATTCACCCTGCACTGTCATGATTCTCCACCAGAAACCACAACAATTTAGCAATTCCCTGTATTTATGCTTACACCCCAGTAAGCATAAACAGCTCTCCCCAGTGTTGACTACTTGTCTGTTTCCAATGCAGAAAAGCACGTTTGTCTTCAAACGATGCCATGACAGTTGGTTACTCCAGAGGTGATACAGAGACCAAGATAAGAAGAGTGGTGAAAGGCAAAAAACAGGATAAACATGAAAGCAGAGTGCATTCCAGCTGTTTCAGACCTGGTTGGTTTAACTGCACACCTAACAGAGCGCTATTATTTTCACTCCTCTCTCAAGGGTCTGAAGGAAGCTGTCCTCCAAACATGCCTTAGATTGCAAATTGCCATCCTTACCTCCTTGTTGAATGATACACAGTAGAAAGGGGCTGTCTCCATCTCCTTCCCCAATATACTTAACCCCAGTCGTTATCAAAAGTGGAAAAAAATAATACCAGCTTCCCTATCTGCTGGCAGAGGTCAGGTAACGGAAGAAATTATTCATTACAGATATTTAAGTCACACGCCTAATCATCTCTCTTTCATCAATCCTAACAATCACAGATAAAAACATTTTCTAAATCAAGTCTTCGTGCCTGACTTACAGGCACTATGTGCTCAAATCGTACATAATCACCAATCTGAGGCCCTTTCTCTCAGTCACATAGTTCCTTTATCTCTATTGATTATTATGTCTATTTGTTTGTAATACAGGCTAGTTTATTATTCCATTTTCAAAAACTGTACCCAAAAGGTCCTCTTCTCATTTCCCCACTTCCACAATATTAAATAGCAACACCTCTTCACCTCATTTTCTTACACGGTATGCACAAATATCACAGGGTTCCTCCATTTCCCTTTGAAAGAAGAACAAATAGTCTCTCAAACAGCAGAACATGAAGCCAAAGTCATGACTTCCTACACCTCAGCATTCCGAGAGGCAGGTGACACTCTGGAATGGTAATTAAATGATCTACCACCGCATCGGGATCTGTTCCTCTTAACTACCACTGACCTACAACGAACAGAGACATGTAAAGAGAAGTCACGATGGTGTAAACACTAGAAAGAAGGAGGTGCACGAAGAAAGAACTTCTTCCCAGATGAGCACTAACGGCAATAAGATTCGATTACCATAAAACCTGGTTCACTCCTGACCCAGGGCTTTGAAAGATCTAGAAGACAATGCCAAGATAAACTGGCCGCGCAAGGAAGCAATGCCCTGACACCCGGATACAACATGACAACCTGGTTCCTTGGATGAAGAAGTAATTTTGAGAAACATCAGGAATCACATGAAGAGAGGTCAGCTGGAGTCCCAATCACTTCATAAGTGATACAACAAAAAACCCTGACCTCTGCACTCAGTCCCACCCTCATTTCCCGAGGGCTGGAGCACCTCTGCTATGCAGACAGGCTGAGAGAGTTGGGAGCCTGGAGAAGAGAAGGCTCCAGGGAGACCTTCCAGCAGCCTTCCAGTATCTAAAGGGGCTACAAGAAAGCTGGAGAGGGGCTTTGGACAACGGGGTGGAGTGACAGGACAAGGGGCAATGGCTTTAAACTGAAAGAGGGGAGATTTCGATGGGATCTAAGGAAGAAATTCTTCCCTCTGAGGGTGGTGAGGCACTGGACCAGGTTGCCCAGAGAAGTTGTAGCTGCCCCATCTCTGGAAGCGTTCAAGGCCAGGTTGGATGAGGCTTTGAGCAACCTGGTGTAGTGGAAGGTGTCCCTGCCTATGGCAGGGGGGTTGGAACTGGATGATCTTTGAGGTCCCTTCCAACCCAAACCATTCTATCATTTCAGCCTCTTCCAGGCACACTGCCTCTGCAAAGCACAACGCAAAGTGCACATCCTCACCAGCTACCAGGAACAGACCTCCCTACCTTCCTGTCACAAGCAC